TACCTTCATACATTGGTTCCCCTCTACAACCTCAGGGACCTTCTGCCTTGTGAACTGATTGTTATCCACTCGAGAAGTGGTGATTACATCCGTATTTGTTATTTCGTGAAACTAGAATGATTTCGTGGTGGTGTGTTTGATTTTTGGCTTTTTCCTTGAGGAAGTGTGTGTGTCTGCATATACATTTGTGTGTGCACCTGTGCACCACTGAGTGACAGATATACCTACATGTACATCGCTCCTCAGTGCCTTGGATTCCACACAGGGAGCCCACCCCGCTGTAGACCAGGTTCTGTGGAGTCAGGGCCATGGAGAATAGCTCCTGGATTTTGAGGAGGGGTCCCCAGTGGGGTTGCCACCACGGCCCCTTTCCAGGGCTAGCTCATTTTTATCTTCTTTTATTTTTTAGTGGTAGCAAAGTGTTACAAAAGGTAGGAGAAGAAACAGGCCTTGCGGAGCAAGTTTGGGGCAAGTAAAAGGAGAAATATAAGCACACCTTCAGGCTACCATGGAAGGGGGAACACAGTGACAAAAACTCAACATGGCCTGCTCCTTTTGTATCATCCAATCCTCAGGCTGACATCAGGTCTAGGCTGTCCTGTGGAAAACCTGCTCAAGTTCTCTTGAGAAGCCTATGTGCAGGGCTTTGTTCTGCACATGTGCCCAGGGATTTTGTAGTGAACAGGTCAGGACTATTTCTCCAGCCAGCTTTTCCATGCCCTAATCTTCTTTATTTTCCATGGAGAGACACCTATATCCCCACAACTCTTTAGGGGTGCTGAGGGATTGGTAGTCTCTGCCTTGTATAGCTTCTTCCACATGGAAAGAGATGTAAATGCTATCTCCTGGGAATTCTGGGCTCTCTGACTACTTTAGAGTGCTGTGGCTCACTGGCTGCATTGAAGAAGAAAACCTAGGGAAATGCTGGGGTCTTGCTTTCTGAAGAGGAACTTCAGGTCTTCTGACAGTTTTGAGGAATATCTTGCTTCTTAATCCTGGGAAAATTATAGTGACAACTTCCTATGGCGGATTTTCTTATCTTGCCATCATGTCCCTTGAGGAAGGACAAGAATGGTCCTTCAGGAGCTTGGAAGAAGGCTAGGGACTGGGGGAGCAGTAGAGCTTCCCATCTTCTCTTCCCAGCTGCCTTTGGATTTCCCAAGGAGACTTTAGACAAGCCTCTTTGGGAATCTCTTGCAATTAATGATAGTGACCTGCTCAGGAAGACACTACCACTAAGAGTTTTAGAATTTCTTCCATGTGTTTTGCAGATGATTCATCATTAGTCAGCAAGCTCCTTTCTTCTAGATTGCTGAATGGGCATGTAGTTCCAGAAGGGCATATCTGGAGTCTTGTTTAGGTATTTAACTTCTTGCCATTTCCTAACACCAAAGCTCATGTAAGAGACACGAGCTTTGTTGTTAGAGCGGAGTTCCCTGCGGGAAGTTGGCCTCCATGACCTGACAACTGCATACTTCCTTCGGTGAACTGCACCTCTTCACGGTTTGGGAAGGGCAGGCCACTGATGTCTGCCTAATCCGTAGATGTGGGAGCACACTTGATCATGACAGTTATTAATTTGGGGGCCTCCATGTACCATAGCAATAGGATTAGCAGTGGTGTGAGTTTTTGTAACAACCCCATGGTGATCTAAAACCATGGCCTGATACTTGGCAAGCCCTTCCCCTTGAGCCTCTGAGCTCAAGAATTGCTCTGACCTGAGAGGGAGTCAGGACTTCTGGTTCCTATCCTAAAGTTTTGGGTTATGACACACAGAGCAATTTCTCTTTGTTCTGATATGCAGGGGATGAGGGGTTTTCTTAAGTAGGTACTCCATGATAGCATTCAGCAGGAGCCACTTGTTGGCTAATTAGGTCAGGGAGACCTGGCGTAGTCCCAGCAAGTAAAAGCCATTGTGGCCTTTGCTGGAATTGGAGACTTTCCTCCAGTTTTGCTAGTAAATCTTTTCCTAGCAAGCGAGCAGGATGCCATCAGGCAATTAGAAAGTCATGATCAAACATTTGGCCTTCAAAGTGACATATCAGAGCAGGAGTAAGGACTCTAACTAGAGGAGCCCTCCACCCCAACTCTAGCTATTGACCTAAAGGAGAGTTTTCCAGAGAAGTAAGTCAAGACAGAGCAAAGTCATTAAGTTGGCTCACTCATGAAATCAAGTATTACCCAGGGTTCCTCATAGGCGAGGGCGATGCCCGTGCAGAAGGCATTGTAGGTTCATTAGTCCTCTTCAGGGAAGGAAATGATGGTTTTGACTGGCTTAGTCCATCTCTGTGCACAGGGACAGTCAACTGTGAAGGGCCTCTAGTCAGGGGCACTGGCTGACTTTCACTCAGAGCAGAGCCCAGGCAGTGGCTTGGTGCAGGTGTGTGCCCGGTGTCCAGTCTTCTCGTTAAAACAGAAACCTCAATGTGTTCTTGGAATTACCCTTAGATGACCTGGATGAGTTTAAAGTACTGCCAACTATAACAGCTATAATCGTAGCTGATTTATAACCCTCCTCCAGCTTGACTGTTGAACAGAGAAAAGGGACAGCCACCAGTTGAGTGATAGGCGTCTGAAGTCCCATCTGAAGCTTCTTTATTAAACAGATGAGACAGACTCATGTGTGTTAGTTACTTTCTCTCATTGCTGGGACAAAATACTCAATGCCTACAATTAAGGAAGGAAAGGTTTGGTTAGCTCACAGTTTGTGAAGGTTTCAGTCCATAATCTGCTGGCTCCAAGGCAGGGTGCTTGGCACAGGGGCCACAGTTCAAGGCAGCAGAAGACAGCAAAAGTAGCAAGAGCAAAAGGGGCCTGGGGGACAGGCCTTTTTTCCTCCTTTATGTTGTATTTAGGCTCCCCACCCCAGGACTGGTGAAGTATTTGCACAGTCTCCATGCCCTTGTCTTGCACAAGATGATGATGTTTACAAAGTAAAGACCCTGGCCCCCTGCTGAGTCGCTTAATTAAACTTTTAAACTTCTAAAGTTGATGCAATTAATCAACCATAGCATCATATATTCCTGAGAAACAGATGGGGATCTGAAGACAGGATCTTCAAATGTACCTCTCTGTTCTTCAGGGACCACTCTACATACCGTAGTTTCTGAGCTGTTCCTGAGATTAAAGGGTCACAACAGACTGAACATCAGGGATTTTATTGCATCTTCTACGTTTTAAGAAGGAAAAAAGTCTCATAGTTTGAACTGCCATCCTCTTCCCATCTCTTGCCTTTTCCTAGTTGACGTTAAGATCACTCTGTGTTTCCATAGTAGATAAATGATGCTTTATTATTGTTTTTTAGTTGATAGTGTCAAACCTTCCCCACTGACCAAGGATGCAGCCTTGTGGGGAAGTCAGAGTGATCTGCAGGGCTTGGTTTATGGGGCTTCCCGTGGCTAGTCTGGGAGCCAGTGGAGAGAGAGGACTTGGTCTTGGCTCCTTGAGATGGTATCTCATGCAGACAGAAGAGACTTGAAGAGCCTACAGCAAATTCTGTGTGAAACTTAACCACTCATTGGACAGACATCTCTGTCCAAAGTGCTGGCATCTTTCACAAAAAAAAGTAGAAAAACCTGAGTGAGGGCTTTTTGTCTCTATAGGGGCCCATTAATTCCTTAGTAAGAGGGACTGAGCCACTGATGGTTCGACCCAGTCCTTTAGAACTCCATGAGAGCCAGGGCCCCACCTCCCTTAGCCCTTTTTGCCTCTGCTTAAGCAGGGTGGAGCTACTTGAGTTGTAATAGCTCTTGCTTTAACGTCAGTAGTAAAAACTTTCAGGTAGTACAGATGGAAACCTCTTTTCAAGAAAAAGGAATCTGTAAAAACCCTAGGAAGGAGGATGGTTCTACATTAGACTCGCAGTGACTTGTGTTAGGCTTTGCTGGCTGTTTTTCTGTTATGCTTAGCCTTCGGGCATCGATTTCTAAATTACCTGCACTTTATTAGCAGAAGCAAGGTGGGGATGCAGAAACAGACATGGCAGAGGCTGACCCAAAATGTGCCTGGCCACATGACAAGGTGAGATGGCAAAACCCAGAGTAAAGTAGCACTCAGTAAAAAGAAAAGGTAGTGTAGAGGGAGGCACAGGTGGGACTTTGAGCTCAACAGACATAAACTGAGGTAGGTGGATACTCAAGCAGGCTACCAAGTGACCAACAACTATTAGTGAGAAAGCTGAGGAAAGTATCACGGAGAACGGAAGCATGAGGCTTCTTCTTCTCCTTCTCCTTCACCGGGGATTGAACTCAGGACCTTGTACTTGCCAGGCTAGTGCTTATTCTACTGAGCTATCTCCCTGGCTCTGAATGAGCTATTCTGCAGTAGGGCTAATCACTGGCCCTCTGGCTGTTCTTAATGCCTTGTATCTGCGTTGAGTGAGCAAAAATGGGAAAAAGAAGGAAAAGGGGAGGTGAACTTCCAGCAAGCTAGTAGCTGGAAGAAAACCACACAGAGCAGCACTCCACCGTGGGAAGAGCAAGAACCAGCTTCTGGTGTCCAACGATGAGTTTCCTGAGCTTCCCAGCTGAGGGGAGAGAAACAAGGAAGAAAGAAGAAAAGACCTTTGTGGTGAGGTATAGGGGGGAAAAAGTGCCAAGGGCCTTACCTATGCTCCTTCCTGCCTAAGCCAAATGCTCCCATGTTTTGGGTGCTGGGGTCTCCTTGTGGAGGCGGTGTCTAGGCTGTTTGTGTCCTGAGCAAAATATTGGTAAAGATAAGTACAAATGGTAGCAAAGTTTTATTAAAAGTAGGAAAAGAAACAGGATCTGGCCAAGGTGTTGGGCAAAGCCAGGAAGTCCTGTAGTTAGACGTCACACACGGGGCAAGCAGGGTCAGTTTGTATAAAACTTTCTCCTCTTTAACTTGTGATTGGCTCTTAGGGCTGTGCCTTCCTTCCTCTGGGGAGCTGTGCACTGAGAGGTCAAGGTGAGTTCTGATCCATGTTGTAGAATCTCAGGGATTCAGGTCGAAGCCCTACCTCCCCTCAGTTTTCTTAGGACAGAGTAATAAAGGGTCTTTGCCAGCTCCGTTGAGTTTGTCCTTCACAGGATAGCAGTGACACAGGAAACAATGGCCTTGTCTTCCAGCTCTGTCCTGATGCCTCCCTTCCCCAGCCTCATGTCCTTCATCTTGCACAGGATCCCAGCATCCTCTCTGCCCTCTTGCGCTGCAGTGTTCCTGTTCCTCTGGGCAAGTCTAGACATGTTCCTCAGGACAAGGCTGCCTATCCTGTCTTTTCTGCCAGTGCTGAGACTTACCCAGTGTCCTATTCACAGTCCCCTACTAACCTCTCCTCTATTTGTTGAAACAGAGATTTCCTCCAAAACGTGAGCTTCTCAGTGGCCTTATAGGATGTTTCAGGGACGTTTTAAGGTTTAATGTTGGGAGTGACAGAACATCGCTTGAGAGCTGCACTTTCTGTCTGGGAGGCTGAAGCCAAGTGATTCTTCCCCACAGGGAAGAAGAGGATGCACCTGAGGAGGCAGATGTGGGAGAAGACGGAGAGCTGTCTGCTGAAGAAATAAAATTTTTGGAAGAGTTTCCTGGGTGGAAAAAAAAGCAAGAAAAGTTCATTGCAACGCTTCGCGCCTTGGCAAAGGATGCTGATGAAATCTCCAGAACATACGCCAAGAAAAAAATGTGGAACACATGTCTCACTGTTGCCTCCGAGTTGGTGAGCCTTGCGGGTTTAGCCCTAGCTCCAGCAACAGCAGGAGCAAGCCTGCCACTCACAGTAGCTGGTCAAGGTGTGGCAGTGGCAGCTGCGGTCAGGGGTATTATGACAGAGTTGAGAGAAAAGTCTTGCAATGACAATCTCCGTGCTCAGGCAAACAACCAAGTGCCTAATCCTGACCAAGAGTTTGAGAACACTGGTGGAAAGAAGATGTCCTATGTCACAGCTGCTGGCCAGGCTGTGTACAAGTGTGGAAGAGCCTGGGAGATTGTCAGCAAGCGCATGCACACCCTTCTGCCTTCCAAACCCCTGGCCTACATGGCGGGGAAGACCTTGCCGAGCTCAGTACTGCCCATGGCAAAAGCAGCGAGTGTTTATGGCGGCCCCATCGCTGTCCTGTCTCTGGCCACAGATGTATACAATCTCCGAGATAACTGGAAGAAACTGAAGAATGAAGAAAAGGCAGAGCTTGCAGAAGATCTAAGAGATCGGGCTAAGGAGCTGGAAGAGGAGCTGATAAGAAAATCCAGGCTCTATGACACACTGAAAAAAAAGGTGAGGTCAAGATTTGGGGAGCAGCGTAGGAGGGGACACTATAACTGGCACCTGAGGGTGCCAAGACTGACCTAAAGGGATGAGAGGAGCCAGTGTGCGTGGTGTAAAATGCGCATGGGTGAGCTTCATTATACAGCACTAGGGGGCCCTGGGAGTGCAAAGAGTCTGAAGGACACCATGGGGACGAGGGTGTGGTGGAGGTCCTGCCTGGCTACACCTCCTGCTCCTCCCTTCAAGCCTGTGTACTGGGAGACGGTTCTTTGAAGATTTACAGAAGAGGTCTCTGGGCCTTAGCCAGTGCTCTGACCTGAACTGTGGCCCCCTGTCATTCAGGGGTCAAAGCCTTGATTTTGCGTGACTGTGTTAGGAGGTGGGGCCTGTGGGAGGAAATTAGTGTTTAGAGTTCATAATGGTGGAGCCCTCATCAGGCAAGACTGATAGCAAAGCAGGAAGACATTGGCGGGCCTCCCCCACCCCCACGCACACCCAGAGGAGAAGCCTGTTATAGAAACAGTGAGAAGCAACCAGCTCCACATCTAGAAGAAAAGCCCTGCCTGGAAACAAACAGGCCAGTACCTCAGCTTGGCTTTTGGCCTGCAGAAGTGTGAGAGGATGTGTCTTTGGTCTGCTTGCCACTCTACCTGCGGCCTTCTATATGGCAGCCCAAGACGACCAGGGCAGGGAGAGCATGTGGCTGCCCGAGTACCTTAGCCTGTTGCGTCTGCTGTAACAAGTTACCCCTGATTGGGTCGTCTACCAACAACAGATATTGATTTATTTCTTACAGCTCTGGAGGCTGTGCAGTCCATAGCCAGTGCATCAGCAGCTCCCGGCTCCAGGTGTGAGGACAGCTTGGCTTCTCCAGCGAAGGTGCCATCTGTGGCACTGTCACCTGGAGGAGGGACAGACAAGCTCCCTGGGACCTAGTCCCAATCATAAAGATCTACCCTCAGGCCTTAATCACTTCCCAGATTCCATACCTCCAAAAATCGTCATCACCCTGGGGATTACATTTTGACTCACAAATTTAGGCTTCAGAATTAGCACTGAATTCTTGAAGCTAGGTATTGATAGATGCAGGACAACAGGCTGAGCAGCCTGGCATCATCCATGGTGAGTGTCTAACACTCAGTGGCACACGTTGAGCTTTGGGGCTTTCTGAGATAGATACTCTTCATTTCTTTCTTTTTAAAACTCAGCTGACATAGACTCATTATACTGTGTTCATTTTTCCCTTCTAGAAAGAGCTGAGAGAGAAACAGCTGGCGAGGTCATCTTCGAAGAAAGCCAAGGAAACCCAAATTCTGCCTCCATCGAGGAGTAGAAAAGCAGGATCCCAGCATACAGGAAAGGAGAAGGCACAGGCCTCTGACATGAACTAAAGGGTCCAGGGCTGAGCAGCACTGTTGGCTGAGGAGATGTGTAGGGTCTCCAACGAAGAGGCCCTTTAGACTTGGCAAGGATGATTTCCACCTTGAGGGGAATTGCCAGCCTGGTAGGGCACATTTACAGAATTGTAAGCAGACTTGTAGGCATAGGATAGCAAAAGTTAGAATCCAATTAGAGTTCTATGACCACAGGCCCCTGTTGCTCATCACGTAGCTAGCTTACTGCTCTTATTCAGCCAGGGCTGTCTAGGCCCAGATGTTCCCCCCCTTCACAATGTGTGGGAGCAAACTGACTGTGCCTGGCTTGTTTTAAAAACATGCAGTGATTGCTGGGCCAGCTCCAGAGCTGGGAGTAGGCCTTTAGGAGTAGAAATCTACATGCTAATTTGTGTGTGACGGCCCAGACACACATGGTCCATTCTGTGTACAACCTTGATTTTTCTTTTCTTTTCTTTTCTTTTCTTTTCTTTTCTTTTCTTTTCTTTTCTTTTCTTTCTTTCTTTCTTTCTTTCTTTTTTTTGGTCTTTTTTCTCATTTATTACACTTTTTTTAAAAAAAAACTTTACTTGAGAGACATTATGGCAATAAATGGTATGTCATAACAAGAAGTACATATTTAGAAGACCAGGATGGCAGGCACTCCAAGCGTGACCCCTCTATTACACATCACCATCCTCAGTGCAGCCGCCTGGCTCACAGGCACCAGCATATACAGTTAGTCAGGGTGAGAATCCCACCAGCCAACCGCTAGTCTCAAAAACCTGCTGATGTCCCCCAGGATCACTGCCCCACCCATCTCGTGCGTACAAATGCATGGCTTTGCCCCCTCATGTTTCCCAGCTTTTCTGCTTGCCCACTCCTCATTATCTAATCCTCAAGTTCTCACTTGCCTTCTATTTGTGTTGTAACTTTCTATATGTAATTCCTCTTTTAAGTTCTTATACTAGGGAGACAATATGATGCTTACACACATTGGTGTGGTTTATTTCACTTATAAGTATATCTTCAAGTGGCATTCACTTAAATATGAAGGCTTCGAGTTTATCATTCTTTATAGCTGAGTAATATCCCATTATATAAAAGTACCACATCTTTTTCAACCATTCCACATGTGACGGGCATCTTGGTTGTTTCCAAGATCTGCCTATCACAAATTGTGCTGCTATAAACATAGGTAGGCATATATCACTATGATATGATGCTTTCAGTTCCTCCAGGAAAATTCCCAGTAGGGGGATAGCAGGATTGAATAGGATTTCTAGTCCAACTTTTCTAAGGAGTCTCCACACTGATTTCCATAATGGTTGCACCAGTCTACACTCCCACCAACAGTGGAGAAAGGTTCCCTTTTCCCCACAGCCTCTCCAACATTTGTTGTTGGTTGATTTCTTTATGATAGCCATTCTTTCTAGGGTGAGATGGTATCTCAGTGTTGTTTTTATTTGCATTTCATGGATGGCTAGTGATGTGGAACATTTTTTCATATATTTATTCGCTTCTTTAATTTTGTCCTCTGAGAAGTGTGTGTTCATCTCGGATGCCCATTTCTGGATTGGGTCTTTAAATTTAGGGGCCCTAATGTTCTTTAGTTCTTTATAAATTCTAGAAAGCAGACCTTTGTCTGAGTGCTTATTAGTTAAGATTTTTTCAAAGTTTGTGGGTTGTCTTTTCACTTTGTTGGCAATTTCTTTTGACATGCAAAAACTTCTCAATCAGAGGTGGTCCCAGTTGTTAATTCTTTCAAGTATTTCCCGTGCAATTTGATTTTTGTTCATGAACTCTTTGCCTACCCCTATGTCAAGAGATCCTCCTACTTTCTCTTCTATGAGATTTAGTGTTTCTGTTTTAATGTTCAGTTCTTTAATGCATTTTGATTTTAGTTTAGTGCATGGTGACAGACCTGGAACCACCTTGATTTTTCACGTCTATTACAGAAGAAGTGATTAAAAATGAGAGTATAAGAGAAACTCAAAGCATGCAGAGATTCCAACTTGCTTCAAGGACTTCAAGGATGTCATATTTGGGGAACACCAGCCCAGTCAAGGACATTTTCAACTCTACCTACTTTTCTCAGACCCCTTCCTTCCCAGAATGCTCTTGTGCAATTATGCCTGACAACATGTGACCTAATTCTTGTACTCCCTGCAACCAATCATGCAATAACCTGCTATCAGTTCTGTATTTCCTGCTTACAAGCCATATTTAAACTGAACTCAAGCCTGACTCCGGGCTGGTGATTTGGAACTGCTTCCCATCAGCCCCCTAGTATTGCATCAACATCACCTTCCAAAATCTCCCCAGTATAGGATGTTTTCATGCTGAGCCTGAAATTTTCCCACAACACATCCTCGCTCCTCACCCGCTACCACTCTACTGTGGTTCCTAGTCACCAGTGCTCTTTAGACTAGTGATGTTTTCTGCAAAATTTTATAGTAAGTTACCATAATAAGATGGAACATGCAGGGAGAAAGGTATTTCATCCTATCCTTCATGTGGACACACTGAGCTCTCTTCTATCTTCCTATTTAATAGATACCAGCCCCATAAATAGCTAGGATGCCAGTGTACAATGCCAATGAGTCCACTTTTGTAAATAGTGCTAGAGATATGGACCATTTTCAGTATTTTGCAAGGAGATATCTAGTTTCTCTTCTACCATTTATTGAGAACATCCATTTTCCACTGAATGATCTTGCTGCCCGAGTTGAATGTCATATGTGATAGCTTATTTCTGAGCTCTCTATTTTATTCCATCCTACATATATTTGTCTTTATGCCAGTGTGTTGTTTTATTGTAGCATTTTATAAAACAGACTGTGCTGTTTTATTGTAGCATTTTAGTAAATTTTGTAATCAGGAAGTGTGAGTTTGATTTTTTTTCTTTAATTCAACATTAAATCCCTTGAAATTGCATATAAGTTTTCAGTTTTAAGAGAGAGGGCCACCCAAATAGCTCAGTGGATTAAAGAGCCTGCAAGCAGGTGCAGGGGCCAAGGATTCCATCCCTAGGCCTGCCTGCTGGTCCCACCCCTGGGACACGCTGAGATGACAATTGAGACTGGGCATGGTGGTGTGTACCTGTAATCCCAGCTCTTGGGAGGCTGTGAACAGGCAGATTGCTATGAGTCTGATCTAGTAATGAGGCCATGAATACCCTATACATCCTTTAAGATAGATTTTTAACTTCTTTTAAAAAAATTTATTACATGTACCTAAACATTACGTTTACAGTACACAATGATTCCATTCCTTCTTTGCAGTTGGTACAAGTACACTAAAAATCTTTCATCATTCCATTTCCCCTACTGTCTCTCTTAATCCCTACCCTTTTGAGAAAGATTTCTATGTTTTCTACTTTATTAGTCAGTGTTTGTTAGAGAAACAGATTCAATGCAAGCTGAACTGATATATATGAATTTAGAAAATTAACTTGCAAAGGCCACACACTGAGTCAAGTGTAGAAGAGCCTGAAGGTGCTGTCTGATGCAAAAAAGCCAAAGGATCCTGAGAGTCAATGGTCTGGAGCTCAGTGCAGTGTCCATGGGAGTCTGAAGCAGGAGGCCCAAGGCCTATAACAGAAGGCTGAAGGGGTCCTTGCTGGAGGCTGAAGAGTCTGCACTGAAGCCCAGAGATGACTTCCAAGATGAAGGCAAAGCCTGGAGCTTCTCCATAGAAACAAAAGCCTTCCTTTGTCACTTGCTCTCTATAGCACTCAGACAACACTGTACTAGGGTGGGTCTTTGGTCTTCAGTAATTTCCCTTAGTCACATTCAGAACTACTGCTGCTCCAATGCAGTAGGGTGTTTCTTACACAAATTGACATAATCAGTCAATGATAACACCTATAATAAAGCAGAATGTTATATTTCTGCAGTAAAAAAATCATCCTGTTGTTGTGATTGCCTTGTTCTTTTTGCTTTGTTGGCCCTGGTAATGAAATGCAGGGTCTTACACATGCCAGGCAAGCACTGTACCATTAAGATACACTACCAGCAATTTCTTTTTATTTGAGATAGGCTCTCAATAATTTTCTTTGGCTGTCCTAAAACTAGAGATCCTCCTGTCTCGGCTTCCTGAGGAGCTGGGATTATGGGCATGTCCCATCACTAGGATTTTGGCAGGGATCACATTAAATCTGTACATCTCACTGGACACTGTATTCATCAGCTTTCTTGTTGGGACACAATATGTGGCAGCCTCAATTTAATGAGGAGAGGTTTCAACTGACTGATAATTTCCAGGTATTTAATATACCATCAGCAAGCTCCAAAGTAGAGAGCTCTTACCACGCGAAATAAAAGCTGGCTTAGTTCTTGGGGGCTAGATAGCAGAGTGGGAGGGCCATGCCAAAAAGGAAGGCATGAGAACCAGAAAGAGACCACCAGGCCATGCTCCAAGGCCCACCCAGACATACCCAGAACTGTGCTCCATTTCTCCACTGACAGGATCCCAAAGTCTGTGCTAACACTCCCCCCTAAGCACCACACACAACCTGCGGTCAACAAAGCCACTCTGCCTTGGAACCAGCCAAGTATGGACTGAGACCTCCAGCAACTGTGAGCTCAATAAACCTTTCCTTCTTTTGTTTTGGGTGTCAGGTATTTGTCCCAGCAACAAGAGAAAAGTAACTGAGACACCGTCTTTCATCTTTTCATTACTGCGCAACTTTTCATATGCAAGTCTTTCTCTTCCTTGGTTAAGTGTCACCAACAACTTAGAGGAGATCTCTATGTGTACTAGTTCCAAATGGCTAAGGTAGAACATAACTGAGATTGTAGTTTAAAGGTGCTGGAAGTAGCCCTGGACACAAATTTCTGAAAAAGTGGGGGAGGGGAATAAAAGATCCCTAAAAGATCTAAAGAATTGCTTTTTCGTGTAATGATGCCCTGCCTCAGCTACCCTTGATCACTAAGGCCAGGGGAGCTGGAATCAATAAAGACTTATGCCTGTAAACAAATGAACCATCATGGCTCTGTTGAACTCTACACAGGAATACAAGGCCACCCAGGTCTTGTTCACCAAGCTCCTAACCACATATTTCAAAGCCAAAGGTCTGAATTTAGGCTTAGGCAACACAATCTTATGGGATTCTTTTACAATTTAAATTTGAAACACTGTATGATTTTTCCAAGTTTCTGACCCAAGTTTCAGCATCTGAAAATGAGATACAAGAATATGGGTGAAGGAGCTGGAGAGATGGCTCAGTAGAATAACTGCTTGCCTGGCAAGCACAAGGGCCTGAGTTCAATCCCCAGTTCCACACACACACCAAAAAAAAAGAGGTGAAGAAGATCAAAATATTACCTTAATTGTTTACAGAATGAATTTTTTTTCTGTGAGCTCCATGTACCTAGGAACATTTTTCCACATAGCTGGGCAGAGGGCTCTCCCAGGGCTTGTCCTGCAGCACCGACATCTGAAGAGTAGCCTATGCTTTTGAAAGGAGAGAAAGAGCTGTGGTGTGCGTAGTGCCACCATGTATTGAATTCCCACTGGCAATGGAGTGTCAACACCCTCAACAGATTAACTCAGGCAACAGGGAGCTCTGGCTCAATCTCCCCTTTCTCAGTATGTGGTCAGAGAGCAGCAACCACCTCTAGAGATGAAGGCCAAGCATCCACCCATAGAGTTGCCGCACATCTTACTTAAAGAATATGTAGAGACCCTCTCATTGCCTTCTCTTCTGAAGCTAAAAGCCTGATGAAGTGCTCTTGGGACATTGTAACAGTAATAAACACAATATGGGTGTTCAAGGAAAATCTACAAAATGCTCAATAATCCAGGAAAACGACATTCTCCAGACATCGAACCCCTTGCCACCTAGGCCATTTTTCCATATTCCCAAACCTACAGAAGATCCCGAGTCTCTCACTCTTTTGAATCTCTGTCTTGGAGACTTGCCCACTGATCCTCTGGGCTGCAAACTATGCCCAACATAAACTCTTGTGTCCTATCCATTCCTTGTCTGTTGGTCAATTCTTCTCTTACCAATCCACACGGGAGCCCTCCCCCAGCCTTGTCCTGTGGGACACTGCCTTTTCCCAAATCAACAAAAGAGCACTTCTTCCTCCCCAGAGTGGGGGAGGGGCTGGCCTTCGCAGCGGCTCCAAGTGGTCTCCTGGACATCAGTGACCTCCCATTATGTGCTTGTCACACAACTGGGAAAGAGAAAGGGGAGACTCAGGCCTTTGGCTTTCTGTTGAGGTTATTGATTCTTTTGCACTACTGAGGCGCAACTTAGGGCTTGGGTCATGTCCCCAGTCCCTTTTACAATTATTTTTATTTTGAGACAGAGTCTCCTGATGTTGACCAGGCTGGCCCCACACTCACAATCCTCCTGCTTCAGCTTCCCAGGTAGCTGGGATTACAGGCCTGCTGCACAATACCCTGCCAGCCCCTACTATGATTATGCTTTCTCACGGAGAGAAGCAAAACAGAAAGTAAAAAGCCTGGCCAGTTCTCAGAAAGCTCTGACTTCCTGGAAGCCAGCACAGCCACTCTCCTGTGTCTTCGGCAGTCAGCCTAACCAATCCTCAGAGCCCATTTCAGCGCCTATTGCCAGGGCCCCTTAGCCTTTCCCCTGGACAGGGGCCCAGACCACCCAGCTGCTCCAGCCACAGTCCTGAGCAGCCTTCACAGTCCCTGGCCGGACACCACAGCCTCCCAGAGGTAAGGACAGAGGTGAGGGTCAGTCTGCTCTTCCTCGGGGCCAGGAGAGGGAGAGGCAGCAGGTAGGGGAGGGAGGGCCGCTGCTGGCCCCAGAAAAACCAGGTGCCCGAGGGTCACTGCAGGTACCTGGTTCAGAAGAAGGAATTGTCTTCAGAGAATGGAGGGCTCAATTCCCAGGCACGAGGGCAGCCTGTGAGCCCAGGAAGGATCTCAGTCCTGCTCCTTATGCAGGAGGCCTGGCAGGGACAGCACCCTTTCCCAGGGCTCTCTTGGAAGAAGAAGTTCTGGTGCTTCCAAGCCAATCAGACTGCTGTCCTTTCCAGAAAGCTCATTCTCTTTCTTAGAAATTGGGAGGATACAGAGACTTTGTAACAGTTTTCCTGATTATCTCCTAGAAATAGAGAAACTTTTAGCAGTTGGTTGAATTTGTAGACACTGCAGAACTGGCAAGTCATAGAGGGGTTTGAATCCCCTTGACTGTGTTCTGCCTACACTAATCTGAAGATCTGTTTTTCTCTTTGGGGGGTCTGACAGCCTTCTTCCCAAGCAGGACTCTTGGCCAGTCTGAACATGCAGAGCAGCAGAGATGGCCCTCTGAACAATGCTGCAGCAGAGCCAGCTCTGGTCTGCCAAGATGATCTGAGCTCCTGTCCATCCCGTTCACAGCCAGGTAAAGCAGAATTTAGCAATGCCTTTGTATTTGCAGGAGGAAATGTGGAAAGGAAATTGGCTCAGAGATTTAAAAAATGAGATTTTGTTAGGAGTGTAGGAGAGTGGTAGACCAGTAGCCGGGTGTGCACACACCCACCTATCCACACACCCACCCACACATATATACACACACACAATCCCAGAGTGCCATCCCACATACCATACACATACAAAAACAAAACAAAACAAACAAACAAACAAAAAAAACAATTGGACACACAGAGATGTGTCCATCATATTTGAGCATTTTCTTGGTTTCCAAGATGTTATTCTGGGTTGTTCCATAGCCTCCTTCGTCTCTTGTTGCTTTCTTCTCTTGCTGAGTTCTGCCTCTTGGGTGTTTGTGGGCTTATAACTCAGACTGATCTATGCTGCTCTTTTATTTGTTTATCATTTTTTTTTATTCTTTCAATATAGAGTCCTACTATTCTGTTCAGGCTTGTAGTGATCCTCCCTTCTCAGCCTCCTCAGCAGTGGTGTTACAGGCATGCACCACCACACCTGGTTTTGGGCTGGCATAGTGTAGCTGGGGTTCTGGGGCTGGCATGGCATGCAGTACTAGGGATCGAACTCTGGATCTGCAGCTTGCCATGCAGGCACTTATGCTGCTGAGCTATCTCCCTAGCCCAGCTGTTACTTTTAGTCTCTTCCAAAGTCTTGCAACCAGCGCACGGCTTGAACTGCTTCCTACAGTGACAGCTGCCAAGTTTAATCCCAGAAGAATGGGACTCACCTACCCACTAACCTACCTTTCGCAGAGCTCTGTCACAGCCTCTGTCATATGCAACCTGCCTAAGATCCTAGGTCCCTCCCACCCCAAGGCAGGGATCTTCACTGTGACAGTTGGGTGAACTTGAAGTCATCCCACTTGTGACAGTTGGGTCCCAGAACTTGAAGTCATCCTGAATCTCCTACTCACACCCCACACCCACTAAGGACATCTGTGAGTTCTCATGCTTCCTGTCATTCTGGTCCCCTGTCCAAACTGTCACCTGGCTTGCTCTGATGACTTCCATATTTTTAACTCCTCCTGCTTCTTCACTCCCAACTTTGAACTCGGAAGAGCTGTACCTATTGGTCTCTGTTCCCAATTTCTGACACAGAGCTTCTTAGACCCTTGCAGACTGGGATCCGAGAAGATTGCTTTGTTCTAATATTTGATCTCTGAGCCCATTGTCCAACACAGAACTCCTGGGCTATTTGTAATTTTGAACATGACAGGAGAATCTGACACAGAGTTCTTTGACTCTTTGAGTTTTGTGGGAGGTGGAAACATCTTTGTCCCCATGAGGCAGCTCGGTGGTAGATTCCTCTCTGGGGTGTTCACCAGAAAGACCAAGGAAAAATGAGAAGCTTGGAACCTTCATCTCCACCTGACAGCCTTGTTCTCTGGGAATTGGAGAGGGGCCAAAGGTGAATAACTAATCAAGTCGATGTGAAGCAGACTCTGTAAACATCCCTGGCTTCTGGGATTTGGAGAGATTCCAGACAGTTGGCTTAGCACAAGAGAGTCTTCAGGGGGTAGAATGCAAGGGTTCCCTGTGCCCTGCACCCTTCCTGGGTCCCTCCCACCCCAAATTGTTTTCCTTCCTTATTCCCCTCACAGCAAATGAGCACACCTAAACTGAGTGTCCCCTTAGTTTGGTGACCTGTTGTGGTAGATCAACTGATAAGGGGATGATGTGGACCCCAATTGTAGACAGGCTGTTCATCAGACATGCCAGAGGTCTGGATAAGCAATTGGCATCCATGATGTTGCAGTTTTAACAGTCTTCACTCTTAGCCTGTGGGATCTAATACTTTCTCCAAGTGGGCTATGTCAGAACTGAGTGGTTACAGGAAAATCAGTTGATGTCTACTAGAGAACTGCTTTTTGGTGGGGAGAAAACCTTACCTACATTTGATCACAAAAATATGAAATGTGATCAGTACATATGATAATTAAATTTTCAAAAATTACGAAGTAAAAGACCTATTACTATGAATCTTTTCAAAATGCTCTCCTCTTCCCATACACTTATCCCATAATTATTGTTACTTTCTGAAGCAGTTCTGGAAGTCATCTTTGATGAGGAGTTTTAGTTGCGCTATCTCAATACCTCAGTGTACTGAATTGATTCAGAAATTTATCTTCCATCATCATTTTCACTTTGAAAAAGAGCCATAAGTTATAGGGTGCCAGGGGTGGTGAATAAGATGGACGAGGAAATATAATGTCAATTTAAACATTCATCACAATTTTTGTCAGCACTATGTCGTGTCATCTTCACAGTAAGGAGTGGAAATGTTTCTTTTTGGACACACAAATATGCAGACTATTTTTGCTGCCAGAAAGATCACTTTAAAGTAGGTCATCACCCCTTTGATGCCCCCAATAGGACTCTGCAGCTCTAAAAATGTAAAGAAAACCTTTGCTTTCCCCAATCCAACCACTCCACTCAGTACTCAGGTCTACCAGTTCTTCCCAACACCCCTTGGTTGGTGTCTTTTTTCCTTCTTCCTTCTCTTTTCTTTGGCTCCCCACACCAAGCAATTCCCCACACCAAGGAACTCCCCACTTCTCATTGGGAGCCACATGGTTGCCTTTTAACTGGGCTCAGTTCTGACTCTCTCTTCTCTGGGGGTAGCTAGGTCCACAAGAGCCCCACTGTAGACACCAGTCACTAGGCTATAATCCCTGGACTTGTGACAACATAACTATGAATGGTTGGTTCCACAACCTCCTTCTGAGGTTCCATTATTGCACAAATGGCTCCTACAACTCCAGGAAACTATTTTGGCTCTTTAGAGCCTCCATGCTCTTTCTGGGAGTGGTGAAGTCTAGGTACAGCCATGTTTCTCTGACTCTAACATTCTCTTGGGCTGCTTCTTTTAGATTTTTCATGGAGGGTTCATTGCTTAGATGTGACTTACATAATCATCAGCCACTAGTGATTAAGTCAGTCTTCAGCTGATCTCAGTCCCTGGAAGTGAGGGGCGGGGCTAAGAATCCTTTGCTCCAATCAGGGTTGGTTAACCCAAGAAGCCTTCTTCCCTTACTATCCTCACAGCCTTTGTAAATGCTACTTCATCTGGGTGGTTGTGGAAAGAATTTATTATGAATAACAAGAACGTTTTTTCACCTTTAGTGATTTTACCACTTAGGAAGAGTTTTAGAAGCTCTATGCCAAGAATTCTTAGGAGGACCAAACATATTTCCTTTCAAAAGCCCTGACAAAGTTAAAGAAATTGTATGTTTTTATTTTTTATTCTAGAATTGGGTGGTGCTTTAGCCCATTAAATGGAACAAATATTCCAGCGAGCCAAGCACAGAAGTTTGGTTGTACAGATAGGGTAGGGATGAAGAAAGCAGAGACAGAGCACAGAGAGCAACTGGTCATTGCTGAGCCCCTGTCCTTGTAAGGCAGGACAATGGGAAAAGAACCATCAACCTATGGTTACTTCTGGTGACTCTTTTTGGTAAGGATTAAGGAAGCAGGAACTTTACTATCAAGCTGAATAAAATTGCTTGGTCTCTTGGTCTGTTGATCTGTCTGTCTGTCTTTCTCTCTCCTTCCCAAAAGATCAAGTGATAGCTTAGGTTTAATTGAAAACTTTAGTATAAGTGACTCCACGTTGGCTTTTAGTCTTGTCATTGAAGCCAAGTACAGGACCATGGCTTCTTATGATTTTTATTTAACATTCCAAATCAAAAGAAGTAATGTGTCCTTGGGAATATAATTTATACAGTCCACTGATATACAATGTCTTGTGAAAATAATAATTATAGTCAACTTATTCATGACAGCCTATGACTTGATACAACTCAAATACATTTATAGAGGAATATCATTTATAGCCCATTTGAAATATTTGTATTGACTATTACACTTCAATAATTTTAAAACCACTAATACCCACAAAACATGAGTGAATTTCAAAGACATTATTTGGAGGTAAAGATGCCAAGCCACTGACTGCATTTGTGTGGAGTTTAAGAATGAGCAAATCAGTCAAAGACTGCAGAAATCAAAGTCCTAGTCCCCTGGGGTAGGATGAGTGCTACCAGCAACAGTGAGGTAAATCCATCAGGGCAGTGACTACTGCATATAAAGTTGTTCCTCCTGATCTCCACCTTTGCTTTTGTGATTTGTTTCCTATCATGAACTTTGTCCGAAAAAGGTTAAATAGAAATTTCCAGATAATTAAAAAGTTTGAAATTGAGTACTGTTGTAAATAATCTCATATCTCCCACGGGTTGGCTCTGTCCTCTCTGGAACACAAATCAGCCTCCGCCCAGCATTTGCACACTGCGTGTACTACCTGCCCATTACTCAGGCAATATGACTTTATGTTTCCTTTGTCTCAGCCTCCCTGGGGAATTTTAAGGTGCAGGTGACTATATCTACTTCTTCTCATTTTTTCTTATCTCAAAATAACCCTCAGAATAACCCTTAGACCAGATTAAAATAACCTTCACACCAAAGTGGAACACTTAGGGGTTGCATATTATGTTGTCCTCCAATATAGATACAAATTTTCTTGAGCAGAAAACTTCATTTACTATATATGAGCTATACCTCAACATAAAATTTTAAAACAACAGTTTGCAAATACTTAGCCCACTGCGTGTTTCATTGTGACTTCTACATTATCCCAGATCTGTCCACATTTGGACTTAACAAGATTTGATGACATGTATGCTAACCATTTTCCATGTTTTCAACTAGCAAACCACGTGGTTCCTGGAGATGTGGATTTGAAACTGGAGAGACAGCCAGATATCCATGCTGGGTAAGAATGCAAGGCCAGGGTTGGTTGGGGAAGGGAGGGTCAGAATTTCATCCTAAACCAAATGGCTGGAGATAGATCCTCATGATTGATGAGGAGTAAATGGGCTCCAATAGCTTTCACTGTGATACAGATCTGGTCTTCTCACTGGTCTTTATAATTGTTATGTATGGGGCTGGTGAGATGGCTCAGTGGTCTAAAGCACCTACTTGGAACAAGCTTAACAAAGCACAAGGACCTCGGTTCAATCCCCCAGCACCACATGCCAGCCAGCCACGCCCCCAGGTGGGCTGAGCTGGTCACACACACACACACACACACACACACACACACACACACACACATAAATAAATAAAAAAAAAAATTATAAAAAAAAAGAACCAGCATGTTTTTTGAAAAAAAAATAATAATAATTGTTATGTATATGAACGTGTGTGTGCACATGGGGGTAATTCCATGAGACTTAGCTAATTATTTTAAAGAGAAAATTAAGTTTTAGTCATTCCCATGGCATTGTGTGCATGGGAGTAATAGGACAGAAACCGCTGATCTGGGGCCTCCCCGTGAGACCAAAGAAGGCAGGAATTCCTTTTGGCTCTCCTACCACCAAAGAAGCTCTTCAGCCTAAAATGAAGGCCAAGAGTCCGTTGATCAGCAGATGGTGGTTGATTTCTAACCTCTTTCAATGAGGAGCTGCGTATTTGTGTGAATCTGATGAGAGGGAAGCTGAGCTCTCAGTAGCTCCTACTCTAATTGTGGCACGGCTGGCTGCAGATCGCGGGCTATGTACTTGGGTCCCACTACTGATGTGGCATCTACATTGTCTGAGGTGTTGTAAGCAATCTAGACTGATGTATATGTGAGAATGTTCATAGATTGCAAGCAGAACTATACCAGTTTTGTGAAGGACCGGAGCATCCTCAGATTTAGGTATGCAGGGGGACACTGGAGCCCATCACTGGGGATACTGAGGCATGACTGTTCTTCACTGAGGGACCCTAATATCAGCAGGCACAGGAGAGGAACATCAGAAAGCACTGGATATTGTGAAGCTGTTCCCCTGTCAAAGCTCCATGGTGTCCTGGTGGGTCACCTTTCATCTTTAGGTGGGTCACCTTTCATCTTTAGGTCCCTCAATCAACAAGTAAAGAATGTGACCCATATCCCACCAAGGCACCTTCAGACTTTGCTTTCTTGCTTTGGGCTGAGACAGCTGTGTGTTATCAGTGTCTGCCACTCACCCTAGAGGAAATAAATGTCACTTGGCAGGAGACTGTGCCCTAAAGGAGCAGCTCTGGTCTTTCTGACACCACTATGCTGTGAAGGCCAAGCCTAACTGGGTTGACAAAGACCCCTTCACACTTTGTCCTGAGAAATGCTCAGGGAAGCAGGGCTGGGCCCTGTGTTCCAGGCTCCTTCTTTGAAGGAACAATCCCACTTGCTGTGCTACAGGAAGGCAGCCAAGTACCCTGGAAGGCAGACAAATGCCCAGGACAATCCAGAGCATGAGTTAGATTTCATCTTGATGTTCAGTGTGCAACTCTTCAGGGAAGAGAACACACAGCCATTAGAGCCAAAGCTAAGGTGATCAAGTGGGATGTTTTATGCCAATTTGGCCCCATCCTCCCCCTGACTCACCTTTGCTTGTAGGAGCACCAGTCCCTGCCCAACAACTGGCTCCTCTTCCTCCTGTATTTCCCAGATGTCTCCCTCCATGGGTCCTATGTTCCTTTGTGCCTCCAGGTTCCTTCTCTTGTGCTTGATCTTAGCATTTCCCCACTGTCTTCCTTCTCAATGGTGCTCTTGTTCCTCTGGGACAAGTCTGCCTGACCCATGTCTTTGGCCAGGGTTGAGGCTCCTCCCATGTTCCTGTTCTCATGCCACCACCATTACACCCTTTCCTATTTGAGGAACCTGGAGCTTCCTTGGAAGGTTGAGCTTCTCAGTAGCAATCTAGGGCTTTTCACAGGACATTGCAGGGGAATTCAGGTAGGGTCCAAAGTCGGTGTCCACAAAACATCCAGAATCCACTTGGACCAGTTGAATAATTGGACTTTTCTATCTGAGAGGCTGGAGCCAAATCCTTATCTCACTCATTCCTACAGGGAGGAAGACGACACACCTCTGGATATAGGTTTGGAGCTGCAAGATGATGGAGAGCTGTCTGCTGAAGAAATACAATTTCTGGAAGAGTTTCCCAGATGGGAAAAGGAGCAAGAAAAGGTCATTGCGAAGCTCCATGCCCTTGCAGATGATGCTGACTCAACCCACCAAAAATTCACCAAGACCAGCGTGGTGGCCGGCTCCACCAGTGTCATCTCTGGAGTCGTGAGTGTGTTTGGGTTAGCCCTGGCTCCATTAACAGCGGGCGGAAGCCTGATCCTTATGACTGCTGGCCAAGGTGTGGGCTTAGCAGCTTCAGTCATTAATATTGTGACAGATTTGATGGAAAACTCTCACACTAACAACATCCGCACTCAATCCAACCAACTAGTGCCCCCTCATGATGGAACATTCCAAAAGGACACTGGAGGACAGATGGCATCTTATGTCAGGGCTTCTGGAGAGATTGTGTACAAGTGTGGGACCTCTTTTGAGGTTATCAGAAAACATATACATGCCTTGAGACTGGCTAAAGCCTACCCACACCTGGTCCCTGCAGCCAGACATCTTAAAACCGCTGGCCAAGTGGTGGGTCCAGTTGGCAGACATGTGCACAAGGCCTTTAAGGACACAGCCCTGGTCATGTCACAAAAGGCTCTACTGAAGAGTGGTGCATGCACTATCTTTTCTCTTGGCTATGATACGTACAATCTCCAAGAGAAGCTGATGGAACTGAAGGACAAAAAAGTCACAGAGCTTGCAGAAGAGCTAAGGAGCCATGTTTTGGAGCTGAAAGAGGAGATTTTCCAAATGAAGGAGAAGTACAAGGCACTGCAGCAGAAGGTGGAGATGAGATTCTGGCAGTAAAGTGGGGGTGATTTCACTGTGGCAGCCACGGTGGACCAGAGGGAATGGGGAAAATTGTGTGTGTGTGTGTGTGTGTGTGTGTGTGTGTGTGTGTGTGTGTGTTAAAAATTTGCATGGATATGCTTCAGGATATATGAGGCATGCTCATATACCAATAGTATTAGGATGCCTTGGCATAAGGGCTCCTGTCCTGCTCGGGCCTGGTGTTGCCTACTGTTTTACTTCAAGTTTCCTAAAGGCCCACTTGCTAGGAAGAGGTGCTTGCTTACTGTAGAGAAGAGATCACCTGGTCTTAGCCAGTGTCCTGACCTGAACCCTGGCCCCTTCCAGTTTGTGAATCAAAGTTCTAAGTCCTATGGTGTACTTGGCAGTGAGGCCTTTGGAAGGTAACAAGGGTCTCTCTGAGCCAGATGGGTGGAGCCCTCATCTAACAGGATTGGTATCCACCTACAGAAAGGAAGACACTTGATGTCCTTCCTCACTCCATGTATCTGGACAGAGAAGAAGCCATACAAGGACTAGTGGGAAGTAGTCATCTAGATGCCCAAAAGAAAAAAGTACAGCCCAGAAACTAATGGCATGACACCTTGGCCTGGGCTTTGGGCCTTTAGAATTGTGAGAAAATGAACTTCTGCTGTGCTGCCACTTGAAGCCTTTTTTGTTTGTTTATTTTTGGTTTCTTTTATGGCTTCAGAAGAGGATCAGGAGAGATGTCATGTGACTAGTCAAGTGTCCTCGTCTGTTCAGGTGGTTATAATGAATTTCCTTATGCAGAATCATTTGTGAACAACAGACTTTAGTTGCTTACAGTTCTGGAGGCTGGAAGTCCTCAGTCAAGGGTCCAGGAGCCTCAGGTTCTATGTAAAGGGGGCTTCCTCTCTGTTTCACAGAGGAAGCCATCATGTAGCATATTCACAAGGAAATGGAGAGACAAGCTCCCTGGGGACCCTTGCATAAGGGCAGTATCCCCACTCCCAGGGACCCACACTCATACCCAAGTCACCTTGCAAACTCCACATCCTAAAACCATGCCACTGAGGACCAGGTTTCTACCTATGAATTTTAGGGCATTCCAAGTACTCAGACTTAGCACCAAGTTCTCCAAGCTAAGTCATGCTCGACTCAGGATGGCCAACTCCCACAGCCTTACACCACCAAGGCAAACCTTTACCTGCCCACAGTGCCACACCTCAGGCTTTGGGGTTTTCCCCTGTGGATGGCTTTTTCTTGTTCTAAAACTAACTGACATGTAATAACTGTATTGTGCTCATTTTGTCTCCTCCAGAAATCCTTGAGAGAAGGAAGGCTCAAGAAGTCACCCCTGAAGGGAGCCAAGGGAACTCAAACTCAGCTTGGGACATAAAATAGAAAACATCACATCTGAAAGGGCAAGATATACAGGATGTACACAAAATGGAGTGCTACTCTGCCCTAAACATGGCTCACTCCTGGCTTCATGCCTATCAACCTCACACCCTCATCTGTCAAGTCCTGTTAATACACAGAGCTGCTCCTTCCCTCCACTCGATCTCCTCTGCCTGGGATGCCTACTCAGAGGGCTTTTGTCTCTCATCCCTTTTGGGATTAACCTCCAACAATATTTGCATTTACACTCCTGTCTATCTCTGCCAATCTCATCTGTATTCATGCCAGTATGGGTAACACCCACTCACCCACCCCTTCTGCCCGCACCTCTGTTCTTTCTTGTCTCAGATTGGTCCTTAGGGGGCCCCTTGGAGTGTCCAAGCTGAAACCCAAGTGCCCTCACTTTTATCTGTCAGACCACCTGGCCACAATACAAGTTGGACAATGGCGCTATCTCTTTCTCCTAAGGAACTCTTGATTATGATACTTTTGTTGATGTAGATAACTTTTGTCCCTGCGGTGGTACCCTGTGTCCCCTATGGTCTGAGGTCCTCTATGTCCTTGCTTTCTTTTCTCCTCACAATCATCCTGAGCTCTGCCTGTCACGCTGTCCACAACAGATTCTACTAGCAAGGGCCCTCACCAGACCTCAACCTGACCTTTCCCCACTGACCCCTTCATTCCCAGATTCCCGTGCACCCTGACCCACAGAGCCACAACCTCCAGAGCTACTATCTCTGCCTCAGCCCCTGTTGTAGCCACTGCTGCAGGCCACCACTGGAGCTGCCACCATGTGTGCCACCGCAGCAGCCCTCTCATGACTGGTGCTGCTTCACGTTCTGACCCCTCAACGGTCAGAGGCTGAGGAGATACCTTACGCTCTCTGTCTTTGCTCCTTCTCTCCCACCTTTCTCTCATCTGCCTTTGCCAGCTTGTCCTGCATTCCTCACATTCCTCTCCCAACTTATACCCACAGTCTCTTTTTCCTCCAGGTTTCTGACTTTGGGACAAAGCCTGATCCAGGAACAACTATTGACACATTGTTTTCCTCAACAGCATGAGCTCCTCCCTCTGCCATCAAGCTAAAGGCAGAATAACAGCCCACCAAGCAAACACTGGTCTTTCCACTCAAGCCTGCTCGCTGCTCATCTCCTCCTCCCCTCACTCCCCTTCCCCTCAGCTACGTCAGCAGGTGGTGTCATAGTACAGCCACAAAAATAAAGAGATTCTGAGTCTCACCTTCCTGCTCCCATCCTTAGAACACCTTTCTTGCCAGCCTGAAAGTCCAGGACTTGTGAGTTGTCAGTGCTTCTCTATCGTGATGTGCCTAATCCTTGTGCTTTACTTAGTTCTCTTGCTCCTACTCAAACTTGATGACTATAAATAAAAGGTTTTTACATTTTTCAAATTCTTATAAGAGATCTCTACTAATTGACCTACAAAAGTTCTGATTAGTCTCTCATAATTACAAACTTAACAGGCCATCATAATTTTAACCTGGCCAGAAATATACTTGATTGCACTCTGATTTTGTAAAGACATTCATGTGTGTCCTGTGTATGTGTTTATATGTCATTTCATTAGCAGCTGTTCCTCTTTTTATTTGAGCTTTAAAATATAGACTTAAAAACATGCATTACATTAGGTATATTGATGCCTTTCTCTTTCTCGGATGCCTTCAGGGCAGGTTTGGCTGGCTTGAGTTGTGGGGATCGAACCACAGCAACCTGAGCCTGACTGCTTTGTTGAAGCAGTCACTTAAAGAGCTGAGCTAAGGGGCAGGCCCCCATGCCTTTCTCTTATACTCCAGATATTTATAATAAGAGGTTCATGTCAAGCCAATATGAGGTTATCAGTCAAATAATAATTTTCTTTCTTTTTTTTTTTTTTCTTTTTTTTTGCGGAACTGGGGATTGAACACAGGCCCTTGTACTTGCCAGGCAAGCGCTTATTAGATAGCTGTACTGAGCTATCTCCCTGGCCGCTAAATGATAATTTTCTGAAAAACATTTATGTGATATATATCCTGTGTATGTCCATTACATTTAGAGATGCTTAAACAAAGTGAGGATTTCATCATCTTTGATGACTATTATGCGACACTACTGTGTATGACTGTTGATGTCAAATGTTCTCTGTAAAAGTATAACTAAGGTCTGTTAACACCCAACAGGAATTTAACTGCTAAAATGTTCGTGGTTGATAAGAAAGAACAGTTCTCTGATCACACTCTATATTTCAAGGTGCTTGATATTCAGATCAAATTGTAATAATCAAGCATATTGCTCCAAACTAAATATACTAATGTAAACCCAGATTCTCCTGAAGAAACAATTGTTCTTAATTCCTATTTGATATCCCAATCTGCTCCTGACATTCACACCAAGCTGAAAAGACAGATCTCTGCCCTCAAACCCTGCAGGAGACTTTATCTAAACTGACTTTCCATGTGTTCCATAATAGAGACCAAAATTAACTGTACACAAGTGCCAATTTTTGGCTGTGACATTTGGGACTCCCATCAAAGTAGGACCTCAACAATGTAATGCTGAACCTAAATAATGCTGCCACTGGAGCCCTTCCTGGACAGTTTCAAGTGCAG